TATTGTTTTTAAAAATTATACCTTGTAGAATCTTGTTTGTTTTTCTGTTGATGCAAAATATGACACCTGGAATCCTTGACAAAGAAAACAATTCAGTTTTTTGTTTTTTTATTTTAACCTTAGAATATTTTTGATTTTAATTCAAACCACGACAAATGCCATAAAATACGGAGACCCAGTGTACATGAATTAATGTACCTTTTGGTAATATTGAAATTATTGTTTGTTTTTTATTTTGATACATGTTAAAGTTAATATTTATTGGTAATAAACTATGTCAAATTTTTACCTGCTTTATACAATCTTTTCCTTAACCATTATATTTTTGTTGTAATTAAACTAATTTTCTTTATTGGATACATGAACATTACCCAGTCTTTTCATTGTATTTCTTCAAATGATCCATTCTATCTGAATTTCCATTTCTTCATATTTAGATTTTTTTTAAGAGCCTATATTTATTTGCTGGCTTAAAGTTGATATGAAGAATACATGTATATGTAAAAGTGTTCAAATTTATACTAGACAAAAATATTTCGGTATATTTTTTTCTGACTATTTCATTCTTTGTATTGTTTCAAAATTGCATAGACTTGCTGTAGTTTTTGATGTTATTGCTAGAAGCCTTTTGGATTGGATGGCTATTTTGGTATATAAACTTTTATATAAGGTTGTTTGTTTGAATGTTAATACAATCAGATGTTATGAGATGCATTTGTTATATTCTATAAATGAAATATTTAGTTTGATTTATATTTCATAATTAATAAATCATATCAGGAAATACCTGATTACACATTTTCTTTCAGGTTTTTCACCTGCTTATGTTAATTTGATATTTATGGGGAGGCACCGAGTACGATCAGTATTTAAATGGGCTCAAGACAAATAAAATTATGTTACACGGATTTCAAGTTGACATTTCAGAAATTCATTGGTCATTAGGCCTTTTATGACCTCACAAGCAAATACAGGTATAGTTTTCACTGGGATGGATTTTGACTTGTATACTTTGTTTGTACACTCTACTTCAAATTTTCATCCACCTGATCAATGCATAGAGCTCGGGGTGGCCATGTCCATTCAAAAGAGGATGCTTACCTGGTACTCGGTACTTTATTGTGCCAAAGCTTACCATGGCACGGGGCCTCGATTTTTAAGATATCATTCGTTCGAAGTACTTTCAATTCAAAGTATCGAGCGATTGTATAAGAAACAGTTGCTACCTTATTTTTCGACTTGGGCCAGTTGCAGCCATAATTTGAAAACACGACCTTTCAATCACGAAGTTTTCTTATTAAATTTATTGCATATGAAAAAGGGTCAAGATAACGAACAGCGATCGATCTCATTAATACTTTGAATCTGTAAACAGGGCATGAACATGGACGTGGAAATTCTAGAGATGGGATCGGTTGCCTCGGAGGAATAAGCATCCCCTGTTGACCTGTCACACCCGATGTGAGTCCTATGTATTGATCAGATAGACGGGACATTCCGTATAGTCAAAAGTACAAAAACCGAATTTTACAATTGGTATGAAACAAGTCGGCCAAAATACGACCAAGTGAAAAGTTATATAATACTAATTAGTACATTACATGTATAAAATCATTATCAAATAACCTTAGAATTTACGAAATGCTGACTTTAAGGTGTAATATATATCCCTCTGATAAGAGAGATAACTTTCTGAAGTCATTTTTCCATTAGATTCTTTTCATGTCGAATTTTAAAGATTTCATTCATGTGGACCATTTTATACTCAACTCAATTGAAGTAGTTCTACTGTTGATATGTATTTTCTTTAATTATCTATAATAGTTTACCTAAAACATTTACCGGGTATACTCATTTACTTTAAACGGTGTAAATTGAGATATTTCTATCTCTTAACGTATACCACACAGTAAGTCATTTAAATTGTTACAGAAATTTACAGAATTGTTTATAAACATTTACTTAATATTTTGTTTCAGTAAAAAAAATATTTTCAAGGGAGATAATTACGGCAAGCCCTTTTGCTATTTATTCGGAAAATAAAATTTATCTTAAAATTACAGAGATATCTCTCATTTAGAGAGATATCTTTTAATAATAGAGATATCTCCAAACTTAAAAAGATATCTCTCATTTTTAAGAGATATCTCTTTTAGAAAGAGATATCTCTTAACCTTAGAGAGATATCTCCTACACTTAGAGAGATATCTCTTCTTCTAAAAAAGATATCTCTTTCTTCTTGAGAGATATCTCTTTCGTGAAAAGAGATATCTCTGAAAGTTAAAGAGATATCTCTTCGCCTAGAGAGATATCTCTTTTACTTTTGGAGATATCTTTTCAAGTTTAAGAGATATCTCTTAAAGAGAAAAAGATATCTTTCTTTGTTTATCTTAAGAGATATCTCTTAAAGTGAAAGAGATATCTTTCAAAATTGTCTAAAAGAGATATCTCTCAAGCAATAAGAGATATCTCTTTATTGCAAAGAGATATCTCTCTTCATTATTTTTATTTAAATTCCATTTAAATGACTTTTCCCTTTACCGGAAGTAAGCTTTTTATTCACGGAAGTAAATAAAAGTATTTTTCAAATTTCGACATATTCATGATATTCATTATAGCACTACTGAACATGACAAGTAATTCAGTGTTGTCTAGATTTCAAATTTATAATAGTTGATTATTTTATAAGCCGTGAAAATTCGGTCCATTGCATTTGAGATTATATGCTTACTTTCGTTTTCCTGAATATTAAAATTTTGCATTTTTATCAACGAAGTTGACATTATTTGTTGTTTCAAAAAAAAAAAAGATTTATAGCATTTTTGACTACATAGTACATAATTTATTATATTTTTCTGCGTATTGCATGCTCAGGACTTTTTTTCTTATAACAGCGAAACTATTCCAGACTTTACTTCCTGTTTCGCTTTCTTTTTAAAGGGGATAATTAATTATTTTATTTTAAGGATGACTGAAAAAGAGATATCTCTTTCATTAAAAGAGATATCTCTTTAGCTTAGAAAGATATCTCTTTTTGAAAATCTAAAGAGATATCTCTATAAGTAAGAAAGATATCTCTTTTAACCTTGTTAAAGAGATATCTCTATAACTTTAAGAGATATCTCTCTCGCTTAAAGAGGTATCTCTCTAGCTTATAAAGATATCTCTCTAAGTAAAAGAGATATCTCTCCAACAAAAAGAGATATCTCTTGTTTTAAGAAATATCTCTCTAAGGTATAAAGATATTTTTATTAGTCAAAGAGATATCTCTTTAAACTAAAGATAATCTCTCTATACTAGAGAGATATCTCTCTTATTGAAAGAAAATTTTTATTTCACGAATAAATAGTAAAAGGGCTTGCCATAGATAATGGAAAGATAACTGTTGTTGATGGATGCGTATTATTTTACAAGCACAGAAAACTATTTGATATTCTGATTTAAAATGTAACGCTTCAGTATGTTTTCTAATGAGAATTAGAAAGGTATGAGAGTAAATATTATTTTTATATCTACCTCATATTTCTAATTTTATCGTGAGAAAAAAAAATAATGATCTTTCTATTTACCATATCAAATTTTCTTAACATCATGATTTGACATATTATTCATTTCTGAAAAGGAAGCAACGCTTTATACTTCAAACTATTTTCCATTTGAATTCAATGCTATTGTTGTTGATGAAAATCAATGTTTAGAATTTTAAAATAAAAATCGTGAAATTTGGAGCAGAGGGATATTGACCCTAAATGCTATTGTTGTTAATGAAAATCAATGTTTGGAATTTTAAAATAAAAATTGATGAAATTTGGAGCAGAGGGATATTTCACCTTTAACGGGGTTGTTGAAATCCCTGTTATAGCAACTTATGTGTGAGTAGTCTGCCTTGTTTTAAAAATTGATCATACTCAGAGCATGTTCTTGGGAAGCGAATATGTTGGGAGACATGATTATCATTTGCAGGTGATAGCTACTCTAAACTGATAAATCGATGTATCTGAATGTCGAGTTGAAGGCTAAGGCAAGTGTTTTCTTCTCAAATTTCAAAGATAAGCCTTAATTTTTATTTCTTTTTTTTCTCGCACAATATTATATTTTATCAGTCTGTCATTATTTACACAACGCTTAAAGCGCTTTGTTATTGAAAAGTGGATTATATATGCATTTTGAATATTTTATAAACGCAAATTGATGGATTTAAATATAGAACGCTCCCTCATATGCATGACAAAATGTCAACCTCCCATTCAAAAAAAAGTCTATGGGAGGAAGTCAAAAGATAATACGTGGAGCGTCAAGCGAGTATTACAGTTGAATTATTTCAAAATGAGTGATTACATCGATATCTTCAAGACGGAACAATGTCTGTTTTTCCTCGATTTTTGAGTTCTCAAGTAATGGATAGCCCACGAAACTTAACTTTTGAAAAAAAAGATAGAATGCAACTATAAATCCTTGCAAAGAATCGGTAAAAAGCAGTCAACGACAGACGTACTAAGAAGTTTATTCAAAACAGTTGAGGTACCCCAAAACCAGTTAGCTCAAAGTTGGCAACTGTTACCATCTCTCATTATTCAGTTTACCATCATTTGGAGGTCTGCTTGGAATTCTCGTATTGCTAATGGTAAATGCTTCAATGGACTATAAAGCAAATGCCTAAGTGAACATTATATTTTTTTTTCTGTGCATTGCTATTAAAAAACTAATTCTGATTTTGAAGAAAATGAGCAATGGGTGGCATGCAAGTCCTTAAGTCCAGACATATATAAAACTGCAAACACTTAGTTAAGTCCATGTTCACAGTAACAAAGAATCACAATTTTTACGACCTTGCTTAGTTGGTGGAATTCCATTTCTCATAAAAATGTCATAAAATATTGCAATCCATATACAAGGTAACAATGAATTACAATTTCCATTACCTTGCTATACTCGTGGAATTCGGTTTCCCATAAAACACGGATTTGTTGTAAATATATATATATATATATTTGTTAGTTTTAAGTCTTTTTTCTGTTAAGAGATTCTGGCATAAATAAACTATATATACTGATCAGCCATAAAATGAATCCAAAGATAAAGAAAGGCAGGTTGACATCAAACGGTGCTTCTAGATTGTTTCCTATAGACCATGCGAATATACTGCCTCCTATTGTGGGTGCCAAGGTCCTGTGAAAAGAATAAGGAACAATGATAAATACAGTAAAATTTGTCTAATCCGGATCCTGTGTAATCCGAAATCTTGCATAATGCAATGTTAACATAAAGTCAATTTAAGTGAAAACCCTTTGTTTAAAATGTTGTTTAATCCGGCCAATTTCTTTGTAACCAGTGGTGCCCGGATAAGATGAGTTTTACTGTATATATTTCTCACTGAATGTTATGTGAGAGTAATAATCATTGTAATCATTTACCTGGCAATAGCTGTGGAAGTGGTGGCGATACCATTGACGGAGCCCGCCATGTGAGGTGGTGATGAGTTGTTAATGAAGAGTGACGATGCAGTGAACAAACAACTAGTCATTATCTTCTGTGGAACAATCAGAACAAGGAGGATAGTCCACAGCATGGACGGGGAACTGGAAAACCAGAACTACGGTGAATTACTAAATTAATACAACACCAATATATCACAATGCATGACTTGTTGTAAGCATGTACAATCATTTAAAATGGTTTATGCTATTTAAGGATAGGCAGATACTGAAGGTTTTTTTTTATATGTTTTGTCTGTTTTTGTCACTTTCTTTAAAACTTCAAAAGTTCAAAGTTGTGAATCAAACAAGATGAATACTTTATTTTCATAAAATTATGGAGACTTCACCAGAGTGATGGCTTTAACGTTCATCAAATCAACTTTATAAAAAAAAATTACAATGATTTTTTTATTCCTCGTTTGGGAGTTACACCCCTGCAACCCTTGGGTACAAAGTTGACAAAAAAAATGTTTGTAAGTATAAGAGATGTTTTTAATATATGTTAACTTTAAACATAAAAATGCACGTTGCAATAACCAAAATAAAAAAAAATTACCCTATTATTCAATGAATATTCAAATAAAAATAAAAAGAGATAAAAAAAGAAATGAACGAATGTATGTAAGAACATGCTCTTGCGTATCAACTGGGTCAACTGAATCAACTGGGAGACATATAAACTCCGTGTGCACTGTGCAGGTGATAAGGTATATTTCTATAAGTAAGGGAAGTTGATGATAGAGAGTTTGAAGCCATCCTGTTTATCATATAGTTTTGTACTTAAGTTACCACTGGCGTCTTTCTTCTAGTGAAATATCCAAATATGAAACATATTTGTCTATAATGGATGAATTCTGGTACATGTATAAATTATGTGTTCACAAACCTTGATTCAATAAGATGTAACATGGGTGTAACAGTCATCAAGATTCCATTAATACAGCCACAGATTATAAATGTCTGGAATGGTAAAGGTAAAGTGAATGATATAAAGAATTATAATCAATGCAAATTAATCTGACTGACGTATTAAAAAAAAAAACAGCCTAAAATGTGGCACCTGATCCCACCTCTGATGTTTTGGAGGTGCTAGTTTGCTCTGCTCCTATTTTGTATTGCTCAATGGACTTTTGAGCTTGAATACTGTTCGTCCTCTCTATATATTTCACTGGTAAAAGTGTTTATTAAAAACTATTTGGGGATAAAGTCTACCATTGATCTGTCAGAATTTGGAATTCCCATTGGTACAAACTGTTTTCTGTTACAGAGTTGTAACATACCTATTTTTGTATTCATATGAAGCAGAATTAAAAGAAAAAGTTTTACTTGTAAAGAAAGTCTCTTGCTTTGGCCTTCAGATCCATTTTCAGATATCGATGATATTTTATCAATTAGCAATATTTTTTTTTATTCCAAAATTCAAAATTCAATATTTCAAAACATACCTTTAATACCACAGTCTTACAATTACGTCCGTTTCATATTTAGATATTTTACCCAAAAAAGTTGACGCTCATGGTATAAAAATAATAAAACTTTAAGACAGACATGATGACCTTTATTCCGTCAACCTCCCTCATGTAGCAATAATCTGGTATACCTGTACAACATGCATAGCTGAATGATGGAGTTTATATTTTCCAGTAGATACAATACGCAAGAGAATGCTCGTCATAAGAACAATTTCTAAATCGAGGTAAACACAATTTACCAGTAAGTCGGATGCCGACTGACGTATTTAAAAAAGTTTGTCATTTATACACTGGTCAAAGAGCACATTGCGAGTGTTACCGACAGGAGATTCGCCTTCATGACACCTGACCCCACTTCTAAATGTTTCGTGTTTGCTTTGCTCTGCTCACGATTTGTACTGATTTTACTTTTTTTAGCTCACCTGAGCTTTTTCTGATCACATTTTGTCCGACGTCTGTCTGTCCGTCTGTCTGTAAACTTTTCATATTTTCGACTTCTTCTCAAGAACCGCTGGACCAATTTCAACCAAACTTGCCACAAAGTATGGGTAAAGGGGATTCAAGTTTGTTCAAATGAAGGGGTACGCCTCATTCCAAGGGGAGATAATTGAAAATTACTGAAAAATTAATGGCATTTTTCAAAAATCTTCTTCTCAAGAACCACTGGGCCAGGAAAGATAACACTTATGTCCTCAGGTAGTGTAGATTCAAGTTTGTTCAAATCATGACCCCAGGGGTAGGGTGGGGCCACAATGGACTATCAAAGTTTTACATAGGAATATATAGGGAAATTTATTAAAAATCTTCCTCTTGATAACAGCGAAGCCATGATTGGTCATATTTATAAGGAAGCATGCTCGGGTACTGTAGATTCAAATTTGTTCAAATCATGACCCCCGGGGGTAGGGCGGGGCCACAATGGACGATCAAAGTTTTACATAGGAATATATAAGAAAAATCATTTAAAATCTTCTTAAGAACAGCAAGGCCATGATAGGTCATATTTATATGAAAGTATCGTTAGGTAGTGTAGATTCAAGTTTGTTCAAATCATGACCCCGGGAGTAGGGCGGGGCCAGCCCACAATGGATGATCAAAGTTTTACATAGGAATATACAGGAAAAATCTTTAAAAAATCTTCTTGAGAACAGCAAAGCCATGATTGGTCATATTTATATGGAAGCATTCTCAGGTAATGTAGCTTTAAGTTTTTTCAAATCATGACCACCGGGGGTTGGGCGGGGCCACAATGGACGATGAAAGTTTTACATAGGAATATATAGGAAAAATCTTGATTGGTCTTGTTCATATGATAGCATCCTCAGGTAGTTAAGATAAAGATTTGTTAAAATCATGACCCATTGGATTGGGTGGGACCACAAAAATACATAATAACTTATTGGGAAAAAAACACAGTTAGTCAAAAAATATGTAAGCACCCTTAGTTAGTGTAGATTCAAGTATGCATAGATTTTACTTAGGCATTTCCTGAATTAATCTTTCCTAGCCACGGTGCTCAGGAGAGCGATGTGGCCCATGGGCCTCTTGTTCCATATATCTTATTACTTATATCGCAAGTTTTATAAGTAAGTATATTTCATCATTATCTTTTGCCTTTGAAACAACAAAAAATGATATAATTTATATTAGTCCGTTTGAAGTGTTAAGGGCAATTCATGATATGGATGCCAAATTTTTATCTAACAATTTGTTTTTTGATACCATTGCCAGGGGCTTGGGAGGTGGAAAACAAATATCATCAAATTAAAAAAAATATCATTAGGTAGTTGAATTGAGTGTGAGCCAGATAAAGATTAAAATTACTGAATTTAATCCAAGGGTTTTCATCTTATTTCAAAAAATTCAAACTCTATTGCATTTTTCCAAAAGCCACATTCAGTGAATGAATCAGCAATTGTCAATGAAGACATGATGGCAGACAACTGCAATTAAATTCCAAAAGGATCAATATTTAAATGTAAATAATATGCAGTAAAATGACTTTTGCAGGTGACACCATTATATTAATTTCTTATATGATGCACATTTGATAACAGGTGAATTATTCGTTATTCGTCTATTCTGCATAAATCAGGTGGGTGTTTCTCAGTTCGTCTTAGCTGATCAATACAGGTAAGAAAAGGTTAAGGAGTACTAAGACAAAATGGGAATTTCTTAATAATACTACAATAATTTTAAAAACAAACATTGAGAAATGACTTTAGACTTTGTAAAAATGACAATAATGATAAGTTAATTACCTCGACAAAAATATTTTAGTTAACTATAGTTTACTATAGTTAAATATTATGTTGTTTAGTATAGCATCAAAGTTTTTACTGTAGTAAATCAAAGTATTTTTACTATGGATTTCAGATTGTTATAGTATATGTTCTTCAATTCATACATGGATATTTTTTATATTAAATATAACAATTTCTTGTATATGTAAAGATCAGTTTAAAAGTTTGTATCACTAGCATCAGATTTAAGAATTTTAAGCTTTGAAATCGAAAAAAAGTTTTTACTTTCGTTAACTTTAAATAAAGTTAACTATAAAAACGAGAATCAATAGATAATGTCATGAGCTCTATGACGTACAACATAGAAATCATATGACATTAAGCTTGACTTTCTCTCATGATTAAATCTTTAATGAATTATTTACAGTTTATGTGACCACTTTTCATCACATAGTTTATTTTGTGAGAAGATGGAAAACTAATGTCTATTTTATAGACACATGAGCAGGTGGATTTCTATGAACAAAAATAATATAATGGGCATCAAAAATGGGTTCCGTCCCTGGCGACAAAGACTTACAACAACCAATGTCCTGTTTGCCAAAATTCAACAAATTATCACTGTTGTTTGATTGACTTTAAGACATATAGCAAAATTTATAGGCATCATTTTGGGGGTAGTTTACACTGCTTTACAGAAACATTTGACAGTAAAAAAAAGCTTAGTAGTTAATGGTCACACTATGTTTTGAAAAATGAGTGAAAACAAGAATGAATATGAAATTCAAATTAGAGTGAAACTTGAATCCATTGCTGTAAACCCTCGAAACAAATTTAAAAGAAATATAACACAAGTTAATATTACAAATTGCAAAAGGAAAAAAAAACAGTTTTATACTGTAGATTCCTAATTATACGAGAGGAATTATTCCGCGTGATTTCGCGAGAAGCGTCATTCGCGAAAAACTATTACTCGCTATTATTCTTATGGTGATGAAATCCATGTAAAATCTGTTGATCAGCCGTCCATTAGCGAATTATAATTCTCGCGATTTGACAATTAAGACAGTTCGCGACAATAAGTACTCGCGAAAAATAAAGAATATACAGTATGTCATTTTGTTAAATGTTAGTGATCTTGTTGTTCAAATTCTTATTCGGGGAGGGTTTAATTTCTGAAACTAGAAAGTAATTTTTTGCAAAAAAAAAATCTTCAGTCATACATTAAATTTCTTCATGACAGCGTCCAAACCTACACGCCATGAAGATATAAGGAGTTTTGGTGATAAACGGAAAGTTAATGTTTTGTCACACTTAAAAATATTCGCTAGATCTTTCAACCTTTGACTTTCATTTTCCAAACTTGAAAAAAAAAACACCTTTCAGAAAAAAGAAAGAAGCCCAGGATCATAGGACCTGCCATATTCCTGTATACGAAGGGCCATACTCAAAAATGTGTTCTAAAAACAATCAGGAATTGGAAAAAATGTTACGTACATGTGTTTTAATTAAAAAAGAATACTAGTATTTAAACGAAATAATTAAGGCTAAATTTGAAAAATAATTGTTTATTGAACAGCCCTGGTATAGTATATATATATACATTTGAAAATATAAATGATAGAAAGGAAGATTCAACTTAAAAATAGCCTAGGAATTGATTCATGAATACTGTGAATGAAATTATATAATTTAATAATTTACTAGTATATGTTTCAATAAAAATAACGCTTTTGATAATATCTTTTTAATAAATAATAATATATATATACAGTGTACTTTATAATTTTGAAGATAAATTAATATCTGTACAACACTAAAATATGTACATCTGGAAAAAATATGCAAGAAAAACCTGAAACAAACACATTTGATGAACACAGACTAATGTTTTCTTTGCTCATTATTATGTCTTTGTTTCATGTCCATTTTCTTTCATAGTATCATATAATCAGTTTCTTTTGTTACACTAAGCTTTTTAAATGCCGAAGTTTTCCCTGCTCTATTTAATATCAAAGATTACCTTTTTCGTTCCAAATATCCTATCAAGGAATGGATAGATGAAAAGGTTGAGGATCAACATGGGGAAAGATGATAGGCCAAGAACCATACCAATTTCATCTGTCTCAAACCCTAGGCCATCTGTAAAATATATGATAAATTTTCCCATAAATAACAAAAAAAAACTTTTATAGAAATTGCCACAATTTAGAGGTCACTTTCATATGTTATTTTAGAACTCTCAAATCAAGCAATGTTGAAATAAATGAAGGAAATATGGTACCATAATTTGTTTTGGTTGATGCCCATATCGTAAATATTTCCTCATAACCAATGGACGAGAAAGAAAAGACTGTGTACAGAAAAATAGCCTTTCTACAATCTGGCGTACTGAAACACAAATGAAAGAATTAATAAAATGCAATAAAAATAATATATTAATATAGAACACTGTGAGTCTCTCCATTAAACTCAAAGACTTAGGACAAACAAAGAACATAAGACTGTGCCTAAAAACTATTAAGGTGAATGCATAAACTTTCATTTCATATTATTTGTGGAACATATTTTTCTTTAAAATACACTTTTTTCAAAATAAGCATAGAAACAAAAAAGTAATCTTTCCAATTTTAGGGAGGTGTTGATAAAGTTGAAATTTTGTCTTAATAAAAGACTTTCGTAATATAAAAAAACAGCCATTGAAATATTGAGACAATTAGAAAATATTGTAACCTTAATATTTCAAAAAGACTTGTACTCTTGACTTCATTGAAGATGCACTTGGATATTTTCTTTTCAACTCTTACTGCTTCCTCAGTCGTGTTTTCTGTCGGCGTTTTCAACGCCTTGTTCGTATCTAAGTCACATGACCTGCGCAGGTCTTGACAGGACTGATATAGTTTGACGTCATATACTGCTCTATCTGTATAACAGTGGAGATCCTCCATTGATAAAGAGATCTTTCTGTCAGTCTCTTTTGTTTGCTTCTGTTGTGTCTTGTGAACCAACTTGTGTAACTCTTCAGTTTGTTCCTCTACGTCTAATTCTAGTTGTCTAAAATGAATTATTGAAAGTGTTATTATTCTTCCGATTGTCTGTATTTTGTTGCTCTTTGACAACTTACTTGATAAACCATTACATTTCTCACTTTCTGCTCCTAGTCTCGGGTAAAACTAAGAAGTCGACAAGGATAACCACAAAACAGACACATGCCACAATAAGACTAGGGAGAAGGTACGGAAATTGGTCAAACACACCATCCTTTTGAAACATAGAGGGATATCTAGAGGCTGGGTTGGATAAAATTCCTGCAAACAAGAACATATAGATGGGATACGATTATGTCAAGAACATAGCAAATTGTGAAAGTGTCAAAGTTATCAACATTTTGGAGGGTAAACTGTGATATATGACAATAATTCAAACTTTTATTTGTTTTTTTTTGGTCCCATACCCCCAACAGCTGGCCCCAGTATGATCCCTGCTCCCCAAGACATGGCCACGATGGACAATCCGGTAGCTTGATTAGAATCATCTGAAACCTCGTATAGAATCGCCTTGGAAATGCTTGCGGTGCCTACATGTAATTAAAGAATGTGTTCCAAAAATTATTGAAAGACTTCATGTTTTTTAAGATAAAATGATTAAAAGTTTCAATAGGGAAAAAATATGACTACTAAAGGAACTTTATAGATAAGATAACATCATGAAAAATTAATCCCAGTAACAGGGTTAGAACTTTGAAGGATGATCGAAACTTGTTTCTGAAAAGAATTGCAAAGGCGATCTTATTTATTTCTCTTTATCAGTTTAAGCGGGTACATAACAGTTCTTAAATAATAATCTTGTAAAAATATGAATTACCATTAGCTAAACCAGCTAGAAACCTTATGATAAGAGCCATGGGTAAATTAGAGGTAAATCCAAACAGCAAGCAGAAAAAGCCATTTCCAAATATGGTCATTAGCATGACTGGTCTCCGCCCCATTTTATCAGACAACCAACCCCAGAAAAAGCTGATGTAAAAATGAATGAAAAATGGTTTACATTACAAAAAAATACATTATAGATTTATTGCACGTATGCACACAATCTAGAGTATTTATAGCCAACATTCATTTAAAAAAGGAAATTTATGTAAAATGTACATTATGCAATAACATGTACTTATTATTTAATCTCTTTAATTCTTTGTAGATAAAAATAAAATGCCATCTCGTGAGTTGGAATTTCCCTACCTTCCTGCTGCTCTGCCAGCAAACACCATGGAGGCCACCATTCCTGCATAGTAACCCTTGTCTGTCTCTTGGTAACCAAAGAACTACAGGAAGATGTTTCAAGTATATTGAAATGCCTTTATAAAAGAGTTAAAAGTCGCACTGAAGGAGCATGTAACTTACCAAAATCATTTCTGGCAGGAAAGGAAACAGAAATGTAAGACTGAGTGTTCCAGTGAACTAGAAAAGACAAAGCGAAAAAGAGGTACGTATTATTGTATATACAATATATGTTCATATATCGATTGATGTTTTAATAATATTAACAAGTATTCCACTGTATTGTCATGAGTTGATTTAGCATAAAGGCTTCCATCCGCTATGTAAGATTATTTTTTTTCTAAGTACTTCTGTTTGGACACAAAATTGTCAATTTACCATTGAGATGAATACAAGGCCAATGATTTTCCAATTCACAGGTGTTGCATCTTTTGGTGTTATTCTGATTTTATTTTTAGCTCTCTGCCATATGGATGACGTTTTTCTCCTAAGATTTTTTCCTCCATTATTAGACCCCTCCATATCGTTATTATCTATTTTTACTGTTGAAATCCTTTTCATACCAACACAGTTTGTTTACAGCTGTCGTGTTTCTTTATTAATGTAACGGTCATTTGTAACATATATTCCTATAAAGTAGAAAAAAGACAAATAGCCAGTGTTTTTAAGCAATATGAAGATTCGTATAAAAATAGCATAACTCAAAGTAATGATATTTTAATTCAACTGATTATCATGTTATAGGCAGTATCTGTCATGCCTTTATTTTGTTTAAGATAGGTTACCGGTATTACATAATAAAACAATGGTATCAAAACAATGGACAATGATCCTCAATCTGGCATTTGGCGCCTATTTCATTAATATTCTTTCATATTTTTTATTATGTGAATTTTAGGATAATTGTTTGTGACCACGCTTAATGACAAGCATGTTTTTAAAAAATCCAAAAAAGACGGAGTAATAAAATAATGCAAATTAAATTTGTCAATTCGAGATTCTGCAGCCTTTATTCATTTGTATTTATAGTAATAAAGAAAGTATATATACACAACATCACAAGATTTTTCAAGGTTATTCACAGCTTGATATGATAATTGAAACTGCTGTCGAAAATCATGTGATACTGTGGCCCTATTTTGACATGATACCAGAATATTTTTCCTTGTGGACAAGGAGGATCTGAAGTATCTCCACGCTGTGATATACTTTTGACCTTTCTGTCTCAACGGAACAAATATTCTGGATTCCTATCTTCAAACTTCGTGTGATTTTCTTAACAAAAAAGAAGAAAAATGGCTTTCTACCGCGACAGACAATACCTACGGCGTAAAATTGATCTGAACCCTTTGAACACGGTGAGAAGATCAACCCTTTGTAGCCAAGAGGTTGAAAGGATGGATTAAGAAGGTACTGATATAATTCTGTTAAAATGGATGTAGCACATAAATCTTCATTTATGAATCATTTGAAGTTAAAGCATTTTTCCATAACAATGTTTTGATATCAAGATATTACATACTTTTAAGCTTTAATTTGAATGTATATGCTTGTTAAATCTGTACGCGTCAACTACTTTGACCAAATTGTCTTATAGATTAATGAACAAATAATTATGGATAAATAAAAAGTTATAAAGATCACTCAACTTTTGCACGGATTGAAAATGAACTTGTAGATCTTTTTAAAAATATCTTTTGTAATTTTTTATTTGTCTGGAATTGCCTTAATGGTTATAAATATATTAAGCTTATGCAAGATTTCCATTTATGTCATTTAGAGTTCAAGGGCACTAAAAGTGCTGAAAATTCTTTTACAATCACTATTTCATTTAAAGAATAAACATCAATCAATCAAATATCATTGTTATCAACAAAGGTCATCAACCCCTTGTTAACTTATAATACCTCGGAATTAATTTTTGAGACATTTTGGGTTGAAAATATTTTTTATAGTTACCAACTGAATTCTTAGATCTGCAAATACCCGGTATTTACTTGCTTTTCGATGTTTTTCAATTGGACGATAAAACTCTCCAGAAAAGCTCTTATTTTTTTTTTTATTTTAAAGGCCCATAGATCTCTACAGTCATCTTAATTAGAATAATTTGATTTAAACCGTAAAAAGTATTCTCTTTTAGCTCCCACGGATCCAGGGTTTGTAAATTCTACGTCAATCTGATTCTTGAAAAATTCCAATTCCAAAATTTCCATCTTAAATGTATATTATATCATATGGTTAATTTGACATGCTTTGGATATGTGGATATGCTACTCTGTAGAGAATAAGTTTTTAATCTTATTTTTGCATATTTTTGAATTTCTTAATTAAGGTTAAACCCCTGCTACAGCCCTGTCCCTGACATTTGGACAACGATTAAAAAAAGCTGAAAAAAATGTCCAGTTTAGGTATTGCTAACACTATTTTTGAAAAGACTTTTCTTGGATATTCCAGTGTGTAATTTACATTCCCCTTTTTCCGGCTCTAGGGACCTTTGCTATATTATCATAAAGCTTTCATTCAAGTTTCCTTCCTGGCCAGTGGTTTGTAGAAAAACACAGGACCATATTATTTTTTAACCATCTACAAATCTCCCCTTGGGGACTGAGATGATGCTTGATCCTCCGTCCAATGATGTGAGCCAACGTTAAGTCAAATTGGCATTGGGGTTCTTGAGATGAATAAAATTTTCTACTGACAGATGACCGATAAACATTAAATAGAAATACTAATTGAACTTTAAATAATGATAAATATTGAGCATAAATTTAGCCAAAGAGTTGAGTTTATCTTATTTTAGTAATCAAATTAAATTAGACATTTTAATCTATGATATTAAATACAATTTCTACATGACTATGTTTTTCTTTCAAATTCATACATTTCTCATTTTCATGCTATTTTACATGCATATAATAAAATTATCAATTACTAACTTTAAAAGATTTGTTTCGATCAAGGAAATTAAATTTTGAATTGAAACAAAAAATAGATTACTCATCTGACAGGTTAAGGAGCTTTCCCGAGTATCTGTAGTATTCCAATATAAAATGAAAAAGTAAACGTCAAATATCTCATTTTGTAAGAAAATACTCAATGACTCAGGTAGCATGATTACCGGCTCGTGAAAAATCGTGAAAGTGTGCGTGAAATTACGATGGCTCGGAAAGGGCTTAACTCAAAAAAATAAGAATCTCCTCCAATAAAACACTTTGATTGTTAGTATAACTTAATGAAGTGCTGACAATTAAAAACAATAAAAAAAATTTGTTTTTTACTCAGGAAACAATAAAATTGTTCTTAGGAAAGGAAAATCGCTTAAAAAAGAAAAAAAAAAGTTTTATATGCTTTTGGCAATGTCCTGAAAGATTAAAATCATGTTAACGAAGATTTACAAATACAAATAAATTCAAATGTGAATTATCTGTAATTCAATAAGCAATGTAAAATAAACATTTCTGTATAATTATCATAAAGTAAACAAGGGACTCATTTAATAGAGTTAATTAAAAAAAAAATTAAATTATATATGTTTTCAGTTTCTCTTAGGTAAGAACATTTATTTCATCCAGCCATTTCACCAAAGAATGGGTGGACTTAACTGGCCAGAAAAAATGCCGTAAATTTAAGTTTCATAAAATGTTTATTTTTTTTCCATCATATAAACCCCCGATATCTTAACTGTGTATTCATGGTACGGATGTGAATTTAAAACACTCTTTTCGAGGTAAACTAAATAAATATCGAAGGCATGGTGCCTGAAGATTTCTTGAATATCAATAGATAATCAGGGTCACGCGTTTTTCATCGTCTGAATACATAGTCAGCACATGTTTGTCGGCTGTTCTTAAGAAAACTGTAGTTGTATATTGAACAAAATAATGTTATATTAAAAGGAGAAGAGCCGACAAAAGTGTGCTCATACTTAATTTAACAAAAAACATGTTCAAAACAAACTTCTCGCTTCCATTGAAATGTCTTCGATTGACCTGTTAAATATTACAATTCGTCACGTGATGTCCACCTGCGAGTATACTCGTGAAAACAGTTACATTGTATTCTTCAACCTGACCTCGATCCAAATCTTGTCTTTGAGCGTGTTTTGTTGCCGTTTTCAGAGTTTAGCAAATTACATATTGTTTTAATTTTGCATGTCATCACATTTTTAAAATAATTTCATATTGACATCGCTGTAAAATGCTAAACACGTATTCGAATTTTTGGAAAGAGAGAGGGATAGAGAGAGAGATGTCAACAATGACACCGATCGATAGCCCCGCCTACTATAAATATTGATTGTGTACTCCGGGTACATGTCGAATTCCGGAAGACGACACTCATGTATCGTTGCTTCAATTTTGATACACGACAACAGGGCATTGTTTTTGCACGAATGTTCCACCTAATATAACCAAGTATATGTTGCTCTTTCAATTGCACAAAATTTATCTTGGATTCACTTCATTTACAGATTGTAAGAGGAGTCGCAAAAAGATCTAAAATAGGGCGTTAAGTCCACCCATTCTTTGATCGGGAATATGATATTAGCTTTAAGGACAGACGAGACTTCCTTAATTATAGATAAATTTTTCTAAGAGTTTGTCATTGAAGTGTACTTAAACATGTTTACTCACAAAAATTTGAGGTACCTTACCAGGCATTTCTGCAAGATACCAGGAGTAATTTTTCTTACATAATCCTTTGGGGAAGAAAAATAATTTTCAAATTTCAAATGTTTTAGTGTTTGGATTTTTTAAAAACGTCCAGAAACTGGTTTAGAAATCAGAATGTTATGAAAATGTTGAATATTTTTCGTACATTACGAAGATGTACAAAACAGATTTTGAGGAACGTCTCGTCTGACCTTAACTTTTTATTGTCTTGTAGGTGGACTATAGAGAAGATATCTGGAATTCAAGAACACAGGGTGATAAAAGAAATGTTATAGAAATTTGAAAACTGTTTAACATGTTTGTTATTGTTAAAGCTCATTTTCCTAAAACCCCGCAATAAATATGCGAGTTATTCATAACAGCTCATTTAAACTGCTTTAGAGATTTCTATCACATGCATATTTATAGTCGCGTGTCCTGTAGCAGGTTTGATTTTTTTTTTAAAAATGAGAGGATGATTTTTAAAAATCTTTTTTTAGGATAAGATAAAAATATATGTATATGGTAAGAATATGTTTCAAATTTTTCAAATTTTCTATCATAACGGATTCCTAAATTATTGGACCAGCTTTTAATTTTTTTTTTTGACATCTCTCAAATATATACATCTTTTTGAAATCGTCACCCTCTGGTTAAGATTTTATGAGTTATACTAGTTTTGAGTTCTCGTTTCTACAATGGCTTTAGTTTCTTTCTTGTTTTCACACTAAACTTTATTTTAACATTGAATAATATTCATGATAGTTATAAATGAAAAAAAAAAATACTTACCTATTAAATTCAATCACTCAGTGCTCATTGTGTTCTTGCAAAATCTTCATTTAAAATTCTTCCAAATCTTTCATCATT